GATTTTAATGATTTGACTTCGGATTGCGGGCAATAGCTTGTACTCAACTTACCGTCCAGTTTCGGTTGAGATTGTGTAATCTGTGATTAAAAGAATAAATTAAAATTTATTAATTAAGATATTTATAATTAATTTTATATAAATTTTTATATTACATTTATAATTTTTTCATAAATTTTCAGATAAAATATTATATTATATTTTTTATATTTTATATTATATTTTATTTAAATTTAATATAAAAATTTATATAAAATTAATTATAAATACTATAATAAATAAAATTTGACCATCCGTATCATAAGCACCCATGTTAGAAATTGCAATTTCAGTACGTCCAGAAAATCCCATTTCAGTTTTATAATTAATTTAATATTCGTGTATCACGGGTGAAAGCACTTTCGAAAATTCGACTACTCGGGACTCCGGCGCCACATCTCTACAATTATTACCAGAGTCTTTTCGTTCTGTCAAAACAACAATAATAAAAATTTAACCAGTGGGGAGAGGTTACAGTTGGGGATGGCAATTTCTCTCTATTTTTGTAGGGTTTATGGAAATCTTCTTCATGGAAACAGGATGGAGAGGAATATTTTTTTGTGGGACAGGGATGTAGAGCATTTTTTTTCCATAAAATTTTATTGGAAATTTTTTCGTCTCATAGGGCTCTGCAAGTATCCTTATCCCTGTAAAAATTAAAACAAATATAAATTAATTTTATTTTAAATTTAATTCATCTTTCAAACTCAAACCCAAAACCAAACCTAAGCACAAACTTAAACTGAGGTTCAAACTCAATTTAATCAAAATTAAACTTAACCCAATTTTACCTAACCCAACCCAACCTAATCCCTAAAAATTAACCCAATTCATTCCCTTACTTACATTTAACCTTAACCCTAATTCATTTCTCAATTTTCATTTTCACCTTCCCCTTCATTGTTGGTTTAATTTTTACTTATGTTTTAGTTTAGCTTGGATAAATCTTTGTTTATATTTGGGACAAATTTATTAATGGTTGGTTTAGGTATTTATGTTGAATAGATTTTTATTTATATTTGAATAATTTATATTTGATTTTATATTTAAAAATTTCAGTTAATTGTATTTGAATTTTTAGAATTTTATTCATTATAATTAAATATTAATTAATTATATGTAAAAAATAAAAAAATTTATAATTTAATATTAATTGATGGGGAATAAGGATCCCGCAAGGATCCCCATTCCTCACGACGAACAGAGACGAGAGACAAAATCTACCTCCCATAAAAAATTTTCAGGCAAAAGGTACCCGTTTGCTCTTTAACTTTTCAAATTTAAGGCGTTTTATCCTTTATATTACAATATATGAATTTTTACCCTTTTTATTTTCGAGTTTAAGGAAATAAGGTAAAATTTAACGTCAAAAGATCACGTGTAACACTTGCATCGTTACCTCCGTTATACATTTACATGTCAACGCCATATCATCAACAATTTTAACTCGTGGATCTTATTTGTTGACTTACAATAATGACATGGAAAAAAAATATGACAAAAAAAAACTTCTTTCCTTTTTTTTTTTTTTCCTTCCCTTTCCCTTTCTCCCTTTGGAACCTAACAGCATCAAACCCAGCAAGCCTTGGAACCCAGGCTCCTCCCTACTCGCTAACCGTAACCTTAACCCTAATTACCCAACTGTCATACCCATTTCCCGCTAAGCCCGAAACCATGATGACAACCAGAAAACCCCAACTCGTTCCCTAGACTCACGAAGGGACCATCCATCTCATCCAAGCCTACCAGGAGAAGTGGTACTCCCTTAGCCGTGCTTCCCTCAATGTCATCCAGTGGGAAGAAGTCACCAGCACTGTCACCGCTCGCTGCGGCCTCGTCGACGAAGATGCTAAGTCAGCTACCCAGTGTCGCCACAAGATGGAGAAGCTCCACCGCCACTACCGCGCTGAGCGTCAGGGTCTTGGTGGCTCCTCTTCTTGGCCCTACTTCCACTCTATGGATGAGCTTGACCGTGGTCCGTTTCCCATATCCGCGCGTCCATTGACTTTGGTTCCTGGTAGAGATGATGGAAATTTTGAGATAGAGTAATTAATTAAAGCTAAAATTAAAATAAATAATGTAATTAAAAAAAAAAGATTAGAAAAATCTAATTGAGTATGAGGCTGACTAATCCAACGAAAATCTTCCCCCCTATAAAATAAATCCTGATAAACCCTAAGCAAATCCAACGTCCAATAAGCTAAAATTAAAATAAATAATGTAATTAAAAAAAAAAGATTAGAAAAATCTAATTGAGTATGAGGCTGACTAATCCAACGAAAATCTTCCCCCTATAAAATAAAATTCTGATAAACCCTAAGCAAATCCAACGTCCAATAAGCAAAAGCAAAAGCGAAGAAGGTGGTGTGTGCTGCTTTATTCAAACCCATTATTTTATTGGGGAAGGGAAAGGAAGGGAAGTGGGGAGAGCAAAGGAATAAAGCAGCAACTGTTTGGGGGAAAGGGAAGTACAAAGGAAGCGATTGTTGTTGCCGAACGAGAGAGAGGAGTGAGGAAATTAGTGTTGTTTTGATGGAGATGCGTGTCGATTCCGGTAAAAGAAAGGGAAACTTCTCCGTACTCCTCCTTTTCCTTCTATTGATCCTCATTTTGCCCAATATTTAATTTATTTTTAGCATTTCAAGTTATCCCCACTTTGCTTGCTTCGTCTTCTTCTTCAGTTCTACTCTCTCTGCTTGCTTTGGTTTGTGTGTTAAAAAGAGGAATACCCCAAATGTATTACAATTTTTCTGATGCTTGATTCGATCTTTAGTTGCATTATTGATGAATCTGGGATCGGCTAAGCATTGAAATTTAGGATTTTTTTTTTCTAGGTTTGATAGATTTGAGTAGGGTAGGTGCAATTTTGAGTAGGATTTTATGCAATTTAGGATCACCACAAGATGAAGATGCTAAGTCAGCCACCCAGTGTCGCCACA